TTTTCAAACACCAGTTCACATGTATTGGAACCTCTCATACCTAGCTTGTCTAGTTTAGGGCTTGTGGAAAATCCTTCCATTCCCTGTACAAAAATAGTAAATGGTATAAAAATCACAGCTGTGTGTAAGCATTGTTAAGTATGAAGGAAGCATGGAAAAAGGTCTCATCATCAGTCCTCATTAATGAGTTTTAATCTTGTATGTCAAATTCTTCCTCTGCTTGACAGCCAACATAAAAATGGGAACCATAATCCAGCAACTTAAAATAAAATCAAGGTATTACAATATTAATACCTACAACAGATTGACAAACTTCACAAAAAAACATTGTCGGGACATCAAAATTCAAGGATCCTTGTAATAATATAATTACTGTACGCACTAAGAATACCTTTTCAATTAAGAAGCATGATATTCCATGCTGTTTTTTAGGATTGCTTGGATCTGTTCTAGCATAAACTACAAGAACATCAGCGTCAGGACCATTTGTAATCCACATTTTGTTTCCATTGAGAACATAGTAATCACCTAAAACAACAGAGCATTATTAATTGACACATGTCAATTACAAATTATTATAATTAATTTACCAACACATGTATAGGGAAACATGTCCAATGTCATTCCTTTTTCCGCACAAAAAACTCCTCCAAACAGTGACAAGTTAGGCATAGGCAAGTCATAAAAATGATATCAATACTTCTACCATCAAGCCTTTGAATTCAAGCTTGCTTATGCCACTAATACTGTAGGACCTCATAACAGTTTAACCTCAGTGACCAAGTAAGGTTTCTGAAATGATATAAGTTTCAGTCCCTAATATGAGACTCTGAGTTGCCTCTTGTCGCACATTCATCACAAAATGTTTGCTCATTGTTATTTTGCTGCAGGGAAAAGCCAATTGGCATGAGAAAACTAAGCAACAAAAAGTAAGCTACATTGTGAGCGCGAAAATTGTTGAGACATTGTAACTTCAGAGAACAAAGGAATCCCAACCCCTCCCCCACCCCTTCATTCAAAGTTGGGGTGTTTGTTGTTTTCTAATAGGTAGCTTGAACAGTGGCTGACAACATGCATGTAGGGGATGGGGGAGGAAAAGCTTTATTTTCCTCTTTTGAAGTCAGTAAAATGCCAGAAAGCCCCTTTAGGACAAGATGTCTCAACTAATCTTGTCGCCTATTGTAGTGACTAGTTTGCGATTGTAATTAAGGTTTACTGGTATGTTCTGAACTTAAGTGTGATTGGTCACTTCACAATCAATATTCCCGAAATATTTCAATCACTTTATCATAGTTTTCTGAGTTTGATATAAAGCTACATGTAGTGTTGAAGGCCTTCTAGATATCAGTACCTTTTTTCTCAGCCTTAATTCTCATGTTCACAACATCAGATCCAGCTTCAGATTCACTCATGGCTAAAGCACCCATGTGCTCACTAGTCCGGTGGCTTAGTGCAAAATTTTGGCGAGATCTATACAGAGCGGACAAAAGCACCAAACTTTGCATGGTTGTAGCTTAGGGTATGTTAGTCAATATTAGGATCGGTGCCCACAGCTACCTCTTCAGGTTTTGCAGCAACTGCTCGCTGAAGTTCTCCAACAACCTTCCACAATGGGTGCCCTGTGCTGAAAATTGCAATCACTTGTTTTTTGCCATTTTTTTGATGAAAATCACATAAAAAGGGAAGTACATGGAAAAATAAACTGTATTAATACTATTATTATTAAAACCAATGACTAAAACAAGTCGACTTAATGATATAGCAATTATGATGTACCATGGTGGGTTCCCTGTGCTAAAAAATCAATTCCTTTTTTTCGCCGTTATTTTGATGAAAATCACATGAAGGACATGAAAATAAAAAAAGAAAATGTATTTTTATTGAAACCAATGAAAAAAACAAGTCAACTAAATGGAAAATCCAAGGAAGATGTTTTCAGACGCGTACTCAGTCCCAAATAGCCTTTCAAGGTGGCGGCTGTGTCTTTTCATGGACTGTAAGTATCTACTAGAATAAATTGCCGTTTTTTATGGGAAATTGTGTACAATTTGAATCACGATAGGTTTAAGTGAATTTTAAGTTCTTCTTGGTGATAAATTTGTTATCGAAAGCCACGTTTTCTCTTCACATTTTGTGCCGATTATGAATGACTATACTGAGTTTATTTTCGTACTGGTTAAAATTAATAATAGTAAAAATGCCTTCTTTCTATAGCCCTCGTATCCTGAGCACATGGTGTTTAACAATGTTAAAGAGGAAAAAAAAATTATATCTCGAGCATGAAATAACATATATCAAAATCTATTTGCAATTCACAAAGAACAAGAGAAGGAAACAAGAATTCATCTGTTTTAAAATTATTTTGCCTTTAAAGTTTATATATAATGATAATAAGTCATGCAAAAAACTAAATATACATTCTATAAGTATAGATATATGATCTGCAGATATTAAAGACGTTTTACAAAAGTATTGACTTAAAAATTGCGTAAAAAGATATGTTCTCAGTCCTTTCTTTCAACTGGCTAAAGATAGTGACTTGTGAAAATCTAGCTAATGGTAGTGAGCTCCACAGTTTAGGGGGGCACACTGAAAAAGTATTTTCCCCGTGAGTTTTCGAGGTTGTTTTAGAGCTGCTGAGATGCGGACCACAAGTTCCCGAAAGGCCTTCGATAACTGTCCCCTAGATAGCTAGGTGGAAGGTTATTAAGTGATTTGAAAACTGACAAAATAAGTTTAAAAACAACATGATAGCTAACAGGAAGCCAGTGACGGTCAAATAAATGATGTGTTCGCAAAGTTTACGAGTCCGAGTAACGATCCTGGGGGCAGTGTTCTGAACATATTATTATAACTTCCTTCAAGTGCATTTTCCTACAACCATAGAGCAAAGAATTGCAATTAATAGTCTATTTTAGATGACTACTGTGTGAGACACTTTCTTATCTTTGATAAATTCCTGAGTTGGTGAAACGATAATCTGCAAAAGAATGCTGAGACGTGTGCGTCAAACAGTAAGTTGTCATCAAATACTACTCCCAGGCTTTGTTGGTGGTGGTTCTTAGCCTTGCATTACCCATAATGACGTCGCTAAAGGGTGGACGAGTACGGTACATCGAGAAGATAAGCATGATTTCAGTCTTATCATGATTGAGTTTAAACTCGTTTCTACACGCCAAGATGGAAATCAGTTGGGATGGTTGTCATATTTACCTAAGGTGAGAATCGAAAAGAGAGGATCTGAGAAACCCATCAATTAACGGAACAATTATTTATAGAACGCTTCTTGACAATTTACTAGAATTCAAGAAAGAGGACTGTGCCGTCTTGTTGCAATTAAGTTTCATATTAAAATCACTACAGTAGGAAACACGTTACTGAAGTGCAAAGTGGCATCAATCCTGTTACCTTACGTTCAAGTTAGAAAAAGCAAACTAGAAAAGAGAAAAAAGCATGTTGAAGCAGATCAGAAACAGCCAGTTGGAGATTGTGGCACCAAACGAGCTTGTAAGACTGACACTATAGCGGGACTGCAAAGTGTGTGCCTCTGTTTGTAACGAATACAGCTTAATAGTCAGGTCTCTTAGTGCAAAATATAGGCCGGATGACAAAAGTGTCAAATTTGGCACAGAGCTTCCTTAGCACCTGCCGATTAATACTGGAGGGGGTGCCCGTTACAAATGGTCCTAATTACAGATAAAAGGGGGGGGGTTAGCTATCACCTATAATAACAGATTGGGTCCCCTGTGGTGAGTACTCTTCTTGTTTGATTTGGCTAAAAAACATTTGTTTCAAATTTTTAAGTTTTTAATTTGGTAATGTTTAGTTGTTGTTACATTATTCAAAATAGTTTTACATGTATATAATACTGACTCGTGCCCAGTCTCCACACGTTAAGTGTGGCCATGTTCACTGTGCGGCTATCGGTGTCTCTGCTAAGACTTGCCAGTTATAATATCATTACATATCAATTTAAACGGATCACAAAGCCAGCTTTCAAAGATGTCATACAATAACAAAAAACCTAAATGCATCACATCCTAAACGATAGAATCGTTAAATTTTGACATGCCACATGAACGACCTCATGAACCGTAACTGACAACGCGCCCATTTTGTAATTGTGCAGCTAAGATTAGATTATAATTTGCTTCGTTGGTAACCCTGTCGTTGCGATAATGATTACAACATGTCAACCTCGTCCTCAGGGGGAAAAGGAGGAGCAAGGGTGGCACAGTTGGTTAGTGTGCAGCCTTCGGTACGCGAGGTCCCGAGTTCGATCCCCGGTGTCAACTGACATCCTTATTTCAACTTCTCTCCAGTGTGTTCTCTCCTTTCTGTATAGCTTTGACTAGCTTTAAATACCCTTAAAACGGAGCATTAATGGAGAGAGGGGGGTAAAAGGAGCGCACCATCGACCTCAAGTTTATCAGTTATTATTACTGTCACGAGTTATTGACGTAAAGTATGGTCGCTTTACCTTTTTCTGCCTTTTTATTAAGCCCTGGGGACGAGGTTGTAAAACATGGCTTTCCAGGAATTTTTAACACTCTGTATTTTTTACACATTTACATTTAAAAAGAAGTGTATGAAGTCCCTACATACCTAGACACCTGTAAGGAGCTCATTCACTTCAGAGCCCTCGCACCAGAGTGTTAATGGTAGGTCTATACGATCTTTCAAAAAAAGTTGTCGCTTGCGTTACAATTTACAAACAAACTAACTTCAGAAGAGCTTAAAGTTACAGGAACAAGGCCTCTTTTAGCCAACCAATGATGCATCACTTATGAAAATGAATGTAATTTGTTTGATGCAATTAGGCGAATACCCCGTGGTTACGAAATCTTACAATCATGAATTCCTCAAGAGCAATTCAGTTACTAACTTTTCACAAAATAATGGTGTGGAAAATTACAGAAAATAACAAAACAAGCAAGGGTCAACAATATATCTATGGCCTGGTCCCTTATAATAATGGAGTGGTCATGATAAAGAAGCCCAACAGCCCCAACTTTGACCACCCAAACAGATTTCTGACAGATTACATACCGCAAAACTATGCATTTACTTATGCCTATGTCGCCACACCAGGAGCCTAGAAATCGGCTCCTGGTCACACCTTATTTTATTGCTGAATATCATCCTAAAGAGGTTTACGAAATATTTTGTTAGTAGGAGTGTTTGAACATGGTTAAAATTTAGAGACGGTGACAAAAACGAACACAAAAAAAGTCACAAAACGAGACGCATGAAACAACCGCAATCTAATATTCGTGTTACACCGATGTAATGGCTCCTTTGGCGGCTATGCCGACGTTTTTGAAGATGGAAGTAGTATCACAGCTAGTCCCGGGCTAGGTATACCGTTTACTACCAGTTTCACGGGTCCTGAGACTTAAAGCCTGTTAACATAAAGGTGGGGGACCCCAGGTAGGTGAGGTAACCTGCTTAGGTGGGGTAAAAAAATAACCCTCCTTTACATGCAATCTTACAACCCCGCCATCCTGGGGTGCACTTTCTCAAGATTATTGAATGGTCGGTAAGCACGTAAACAATAAAAATGCTGGCAAACCACGTCTACGCTCACTTGCTACTCTTGCTGCAACCTTCAGTGTTGTGGCTTTCTATTGTTACCTTTAATGATTATGTGAAGCCACCCGGCGCCAAAGTGAATCGTGCGCGAATTTGATGTATCACGAATCCGACCCCGACTAGCCTGGGTTACCTCACCTTGAAACGCTGACATGGCAAAATTTGACCTCAGCTGAGGTTACCCAATGTGGCAGACCGGGCTACCCACCTTGAAGAATCACCCTACCCATCATGTAAACGTGATCAAGTTAAAATGAGAGATTATCTGGACAGGCGGGTTACCCCACCTAAGTGGGTTACCATGCCTACCTGGGGTCCCCCTCCTCCATGTAAACACGCCCTAAAAGTTAGCCGGGCCCCCTTTCTACAGTTCCAGCAGTTAAACCATTCACCATTTATCATTGAGTCAATCTTGTACCACTTGAGCCTCACTTTTACGACTTTATAAGCTGTTATTGTTTTTGGACATGAGTACTTCAGTGCCAAATGTAGAGGTTTCATGATAAACTGTGCTGTTTTTTGAAGCTTGGGCTAACTTGTTTCTTTTTTTCGTTTATGAGACCAGATTCTTTTTTGTTTGTTTTTGCTTTGTAAAGCTTAGACAAACTGCGGGAATTGTAAATGATATGACTTGTGCTACGATGCTTGCTTCTCTGTCAAAACATGCACGTGCGTCCAGCAGATAAAGGGAGACTGAAAGGCACCCAGGCCTTTGTTAAGCTGAAAAATTAATTACTTCCTTAGGAAAGAACTATTTTGGGTTCTGTCATTTCGTTATTTGCTCTTCATGAACAGCTGTCATGAATCCCTGATAATATGTGATACAACAGACTCTTTGACAATTTCTTTTTTCTGAAATTTTGTGTGTGAATTGCTATGCCATATTACGCTTTTTTTAGCTTAAAGTGATATGTAATGACAAGTAATACATACTTGATAAATAAGGCTTAAGCCACACAATAAGGCCTCCTCTAATTGAAATACATTAAGAAAGGAAAAGAGAACCCCAGAAGCTGAGTACTTGCAAGTTATGAAGCAAAGACGAGACCATCTCAGAAGTGACTTATGACAATGTGGGCGGACTGTGGACTTGCTTTAAGGGCACAGTAATAATCAACTTAATTATACAATCAATAAGCTAATAATGGTTTGGAATGCCATATGTTCAAGTGAAATTGTTGTTTACAACATGAGAAGAGCATTCTGAGTGATTTAAGGTATTAAATAACAACTTTCAATCCAAACAGCACAGGGACCCCAGCAGGTGAAATTTACAATAATTAAATCCTGTTTAGCACGCTTCAGTGGCATATTTGCATTGGGCACCCCCTCTAATATTCATGGTACTGCAATAAGCTATCGCTGCGCAAAGTTTGGTGCTTTGTCAACTCTGTAACGATCCTGACCTTAAGAGACCTGACTATAATATGAAGTTTGGCAAGTATAAAGAAATGTGTATCATTGTCCACTGCATTTGCTCTGTACTCAGTGAGTTTAACAAATGCTCTTGATTTATTTAATTTCTCGTCTTCCTCGACCTTCCAAGCTGCTCCACTTTTCTTCCTGCGTTCCTCTGACATGTATGCCTATTTCGCACTTCAGCCTTTTTAGTACCTTTTCAAGGAGCGTTCTATAAATTAATGCTTGTACCGTTAAACCAGTGGGCTTCTCAAATCTTCTTTTGTTGATTCTTGGCAAATATAACAACGATCCTAGTTAATATCCATCCTGGTGTGTAGAAAACATCTCAGCTTCAGAAACCTTTAACTAACCAGTAAGTTAATAAACTCAGTATAGTCATTCATGATCGGCACAAAATATGAAGCGAAAATGTAGCTTTCGATAACAAATTTATCACCAAGAAGAGCTGAAAACTTCACTTAAACCTGTCGTGATTCAAATTTTGCACAATTTCCACTAAAAAACGGCAATTTATTCTAGGAGATACTTACAGTCCATGAAAAGACACCTTCAAGCCGCCATCTTGAAAGGCTAATTGGGACTGAGTACACGTCTGAAAACATCTTCCTTGGATTTTCCATTTAGTTGACTTGTTTTTGTCATTGGTTTCAATAATAATACAATTTCTTTTTTTATTTTCTTGTCTTTCATGTGATTTTCATCAAAATAATGGCAAACATCAAGGAATTGATATTTTTAGCACAGGATACCCACCATGGTATATCATAATTGCTATATCATTAACTTAACTTGTTTTAGTCATTGGTTTTAATAATAATAGAATTAATACAGTTTCTTTTTCCATCTACTTCCCTTTTATGTGATTTACATCAAAAAATGGCAAAAAACAAGTGATCGCAATTTTCGGCACAGGGCACCCATCATGGAAGGTTGTTGAAGAACTTCAGCGAGCAGTTGCTGCAAATCCTGAAGAGGTAGCTGTGGGCACCGATCCTAATATTGACTGAAATACCCTAAGCTACAACCATGCAAAGGTTGGTGCTTTTGTCTACTCTGTATAGATCTGAGCCTTTAGCCACCTGACTACACCAGATATGAGCTGAAAAGCAAATATACACTTTTTTTACAGTGTTATTGTTTTATCTCTATGCCTACCATACCATATATGCAAGAAAATGTGCATACAGATATAAGAAAATACATTTACAAGTTAAGGGAGCAACAAGAAGATATTTTTCCAAGAGCCCTTTTTTGAAAAACATTAGTACAGTCAAAGTTCTGCTAATAACAGGAACCTTTTGGTGGCAGACAGTCCCCCTTCTAAGTAGACACTTACTTATGTTCTTAGCAGCACGTGCATGTACATATGCACACTGTTTTTTTCCCTGCTCTTTTAAAGCGGGCACCTCTCTAGCTTGACAGAGATAGTTGCAGCTTGGAGTATTGGCATGGGTGTGCTGCTGTTATTGTTTTTTTCTCATTGTTTTGGGGATCAGCAATTGTTTTTAATTATTCTTGTAACTATAATTGATTACTTTTATTTCTTTAATTATATGTCTTCTTGTAAATTCTATCATGATTGCATTCTTGCCCCAAAAAAGTGTGAAAAAAACAAAACAAAACAAAAAAAACTGGCTTGACACTTATAAACATCCAAGGAGAAGTGAGATCAGGTCATGAATCACACAATGAGAATCACATAAGTCAGGCAAATTATTGCTAGGCAGTGTCCCTTGAAATAGATTAAAATGCATCTGGCAGTCCTTACTTTTGCAGCCTCTCAAAATGAGCCAGCAGCTGGCAGTTTTGCCCCTTGATATTCCAGTGAAATCATTTTTTTGCTGCCTACTCAACACTAGGTTTTAATAACATTAAATAAAGTCCACACAAATTTAGACCTTTGTAGCCAGTCTCTCTAGTTATCCTGCCTACTACTGTGAATCATCTTGACTGGCACGGGCTGCTTAGTTTTGTCTGATCTACATTTTGATGTAACCAGCCATTTGTCTGGATACTTAAAATGGAAGTTGACATTACATTCATTTATTTACAGTAGTTATGTATTAACCTTTGGAAGATATTTCTCTTTTTGAGCTTCAGTGCCATTTCTGGCAATTTGATTGACACACAAATTTGAATGTGCACCATAACTCAAAGCAATAGCTCCTGAGAATCTGCTCATTTCTTCCACAACAATACAGTGGTCCATGTATCCAAGGCCAGTGCCGTCATATTTCGCTGTTAGAGCATCATGAAAAGAACAGCCACTGTATTAAAACAGAATAATTGGGTCTACTCTAGTGTAGTGTTTCACGGTCAGTGAAACATCCGGATTTAACCAAAATAAATGCACACAACAACAGATTCAACTCGACACTTGACCATGTGCTTTTTAATAACCCATAACTCATTTCGACCGTACACAATTACATCATCGATACTACAATCTCTCCCTTTTTCGAATAAATTGTTCAGTCCGGTTTCTTAAACAAAATAACAATACAAACTATAACAGTCTCTCAATGGCTACTAACTCAAGGAAAAATGATCCAATGTCCAAGACTTAAATCAATACAAAATGACATTTTCATAAAGGTGAAATGTCCTTCGCAAGAACTGTCCATTGTGTAAACAAAGTCTTAACCAAGTTCATAATCTTTTAGTCTCTCAGGTTGACGATTGTGCCTAGGCTGCAACGCATAACGCTGAGTTGAAACTCTTGGTTCCTCTTCCTGATTAGTTTCTGGGTCTTTTGACAAAGTCCCTTTAGGATTGCTGGTTTCTGTTTCCTGTGATTTGTCCTCCAAATACTTCTGTAGATGGGTAACATTTCTTTTGTAGTGAATGCCAGCAGGGGACTTAATTTCCACATGACCTCCATGTTTGTTGACCACTTCACAGGGTGTGGCTTCAAATGATGGTGACAGCTTGTCTGACTTCGGTTTCTGAAGAAGAACTTTGTCTCCCTCTCTCAGGTTAGACTCACAAGCACCTCTCAGATTATCAGCATAGTCTTTGCCTTTTTGCTTTCTTTCACGATCTCTGTCCAAGACTTCACTGTCATTACTAGCTGAGCGCAACTCTTCCACACCTGGGAGCTTTGAACGAATATCTCTTCCAAATAACAGTTAAGCAGGACTCTCTCCAGTAATTGTGTGTGGCGTGCTTCTGTAACCGAGCAAGAATTTCTGCAATTCCTTTCGCCAGTCACGTCCCTCGCTGTGCGCAACCCGCATCGCTTTCAGCAGACTTCTATTTTGTCTCTCCACCTCGCCGTTGGCTTGTGGCCACATTGGAGTTGACGTTCTGTGTTCAATGTTGTTGTCTTTGAGGTAGACTTCAAACTCTTGTGACACAAACTGTGGACCATTCTGTTTTTATTGACAGCGGTAGTCCATGAGTAGCAAACAATGCTTCCAGACAGCTAATCATTTTGCCAGATGTCACTGATTTGGTTACAGCTACTTCAAAGAATCGACTAAAATAATCAACAACCACGAGTAGATATTCACCCGTCGGAAGGGGTCCTAGCAGATCTACCGCAAGGTCTTGCCATGGCTGTGTAGGCAACTCTGTGTCTCTTCATTGGTTCTGGGGGCAAAGGTTTCCCGACAAGCTGGCAACCATGACATGTTCTGTACCTTTGTTCTGCTTGACGGTCTATACCGGGCCACCATACTTTGGTACGGAGTCTTTGGTTAGTCTTAACGATCCCTTGATGGCCCTCGTGTGCCAGATCCAGTACTTGCTTGCGAAGTTTCATCGGAATGACTAATCTAGTTCCTCTCAACACTAACTTTCCTAGCACAGTTAACTCGTTTCTCACAGCTTTAAAAGCTGGCTCGCCGACAGCCCAATCATTGGTCTGAACACACTTCCTTAACATTGCAATTTCTTCATCCTCAGCAGATGCTTCTTCAATTTCCTGGATAGGTATGGCTCTGGGGGCTGCATTCTCTGCAACGTACCGAATGTATTCTTCCGCCAAATTTTTGCTTTCGTTTGAAATTTCTTGGGTTAGGCGAGATAAAGCATCAGCTATGTTCTGTGGGCCTGGACGATACATCACTGTAAACTCATATGGCTGAAGTCGTAAGACCCATCTTTGGATTCTCGCAGAGGGCTGAGATTTACTTGAATAGATCACTTCAAGTGGTTTGTGATCAGTTTCCAATTCGAAATGTTTTCCATATAGATAAACATGGAACCTTTCGCAAGCCCAGACTAGAGCCAGAGCTTCTCTTTCTGTTTGAGAATATCTTCTTTCAACAGGTAGACGGTCATGCTGATTGGTCAATTAGTACCACGTGATGATGACGTACGTGATCAAGGTGAGTAAACAAAAATTGGGGCGTTGAGTTTGGAAGAAGCGATAGAAAGTGCTCTCGAAAGTTTTCCCAAAATCGATTGTTTAAAGGATGAACAGAAGAAATGTATCGCATTTGTTACCAGCAGGATTTGGTAAAAGCTTAATTTTCCAACTATATCCGCGAATCTTCGAGTTGGTGAACGCCAGGAAAAATTGTCACGTTATCGTTGTTAGCTCGTTGAATGCTTTAACAGAAGAGCAGGTTCAGGAACTTGCCGACATAGGCATATCAGCTGTAGCTGTTGGCGATAGCCGTGAAACGGATGAAAATATACTAAAGGGCGAATACAAGTTGGTGTTTGGTAGTGCAGAAATGTGGCTGAGGAAGAATTTTCTGGAAACTTTTGGATTTTGAAAAACATGTTTACGTGCGGACTACTAATTCAATTACGGTGATTGTCACGGAATGGATTTTTTACGGATTGCCTTTATTCACGGGATTTGACTTTTGGATTTGACTTTCACAAGATTACTGGATTCTGTTAAGTACGAATCAGGAACTTTTATTGCGGATTTTGTTTCAAGTTTTGTCATCAAAGGCCCGCTGGATGGAATCTACTTATGGAACAAAGCAGGACTGTTCGTGGGAACTTTGTGTGAACACCTTAAAGGCCTCTTGTGAGGAATTTGTTTTCGTGGATCAAGGACTTTGCAAGAGGATTTTATTGGCAAGTAATTCAGGAACATTCCCTCAGAATCTTAGGAAATATTAGGGACTATTTTATCGGGATTTTGTTTGAACTTTATGCGATCAAAAGTTTCAGTGAATGTTTTTTTTGTTTTCGTGACTCGCTGTTTTTCAACCTTTGTAACCTTGAACCGATAGCGACGGCGTGATTTGTGATTTCGTGGCTTATTTTTGACTTTTGTACAGTTTTTTGTGAATGATTGATGTAACGAAATTGGAATTGTATGTAGATTTACACTGTCAGAAATACCACATTACGCATTGTAAGTGTTTCCAGTTTATGTAACTAAAAGAATGACATTTTCATATCAAATTCGGTTTGGTGTTTTAGTTAGATGTGACAACTAAATCAATTATTGCTGTTTAACACAGTCCTACATGAAGAATTAAATGATTTAGACCCGTAAACTTTGGTAGGAGATCGCGAAGCCATGGAAACAGTCGTAACTCCTCATTTCTACTGCAATGCGGACGCTTCACGCTTGAAATGTGACAATTTTCGCGCGATAATGGATCGTGTTTTGATTGGTTCTTTTGACATCACCGCGGGTAGTTAATATTTGTGGGCGTAAGTAGGCGGAACAGCAAGAACAATGGACTGCGGACAGGCGCTTTATTTTTCTCTTCCCCTCGTCTCGCGCTCCGCGCGAAATATCGCGTTCGCCCCGCTTGGCTCATAAAGCGCCTGTCATGCAGGCTATGTCCTGGAGGACCTCATCAACAGTGGGAATTGGGTGTCTTTCTCTCACAATAGCTTCATTCGCTCTGCGCATATCAACGCACAATCGAATCTCACCAGAAGGTTTGGGAACTACTATTATTGGGCTGACCCACGGTGTTGGTCCTTTCACTTTCTCAATAATGTCCAGCTGCTCTAACTCATGCAACTTGCTCTCTACTTTCTCTCTCAGACTGAATGGCACTCGCCTGGGATGCTGAACAACTGGATTGACTTCTTTATTCACATGGATCTTAACTTGATAATCAGTCAACTTGCCCACTCCTTCAAAACATGCTTTCTATTTATCAACAAGGTCTGGTGTACTTACAACATTAACTTGTGGTCCCAGTCTTAGTGCATCTAATTCCATGGCTGTCTTCCTGCCCATTATTGGCCTGCCTTCATTGCAGATGACAATAAATTCAGCTGTGACATCTTTTCCAGCTAGGTTTACTGATGCTTCGAACTTTCCCAGTGTGTCCAGTGGTTCTGAAGTTCCATAAGGATACAATTTCTGATTTGTCTTTTCTGACTTGCACTTTACTCCTTTTTGCTTCAATTCTTCCCACGTCTTCTGATCAATGATATTACATGATGATCCTGAGTCGATGAGAACTCCATTAAGAATGACACCTCCAACTTGTAAATCGACTATCTCTGATCCACTCCTGTCCCATGTTTTACCGAGTCCCACAGTAAAAGCATATTCATCATCTTCACCATCCTCCACGCAGTTGACTTTTCCTCGTCCACCTTGTTTCCGTGTGTCCTTTTTCTTCTTCTCTTGTTTACTCTTTGTCCTGCTGACTGAAGCAAAATGTCCTGCCATGTGACACTTTGTACAGGTTTTAGATCTTGCCGGACAATACTTGTCACGTGCGAAATGGCCACTTTGTCCACATCGGTAACATTTCAGACTCTTCTGATCACTTTTCCCATTTCCTCCAGGTTTGTTGTCTTCCTTGATGGCATTAACAGACGCTCCCACATCACCTTCGATCTGTTTGGCTTGGGTTTGAGATAACTCCAACGATCGAGCAATCTTCTGCGTGTCTGCCAATGTTAGCTCTTGTCCCTTTCCCAGAAGTTTTCGCCGAAGCTCTGTGGACTTGCACTTATCAATGATTTGATCACGTATTTGCTCATTCTTCGTAGCACCAAATTCACAATTCACAGCTTGAGTACTGAGCCTTACAACAAATTGATCGACCGTTTCATGCTCTTCTTGCTTCATTTGGCGAAAAATGTGTCGCTCGTATGGTACATTCACTTGTGGTGTAAAGTATGCATCGAGTGTTCGAAGTGCAGCCTTGTATGCATCGTCGTCTTCCCCTGCAGGTGCACCCGGATCCGTTAGGGTTTCAAAGATTTCTTGGACTTCCATCCCTGCGCAATGTAAAAGTAACGCCTTTTTTCGAGCGGCTGCTGTGATTCCACGACCATCGACGTAAATTGAAATGACTTTCGCCATCGCCGCCATCTTGGCCCCACACTCGTGCTATCTCCTCGACAATCAAATGGCTTAATTCCGCGAAGTTCGTCATTTGTCGCCATAACTTTCCTTCAAACAGACGTATCTTCGTATCACTTTATCCTCGTCGCCAATTGTACTGTTTCACGGTCAGTGAAACATCCGGATTTAACCAAAATAAATGCACACAACAACAGATTCAACTCGACACTTGACCATGTGCTTTTTAATAACCCATAACTCATTTCGACCGTACACAATTACATCATCGATACTACATCTAGTAACACCCTAAAGCCCATAATTTACTGCATAATGCCAAGGGAAATTGGCCAGGGACTGGAAACAGTAAAATATTCGTGATACACTAAATTCCCTTGATTTGGGGGATTGAATAGGGACAACACAATATGTAATTTTTGTAAAGTAAAATCGGAATCAAGGTAACATACAAAGAATGGGCCTCTCTTAATTAAAAATCTTACGTAGATACTCTTTCTGATGCTGGTGTCAGGTTAATAATAGAGCAGTGTTCAATCTAGGCCACGTTTTTACATCATTGTCGCTGAATATTCCATTCTGGTGCAAAATAAAATTATTGTAAAGTCTTACTAATGCAAAAAAAGGTTACCTTGTATACAAGTACTTCCAAAGCAGCAGTCAATAATAAATATAAATTTTACAAAAGGTGTGCTTACTAGCCTGAAATGAGTGCACAAAATAACTATCATTTCAGACTACATGTTTACAAGTATAAAGAGCTATAAAGAGCTAAAACTTAGCACAAACCTGTTTACAGGTCGTACACTTCGCGGCCTTCTGATCCAGATGCAAAATATCAGCTTGCGAGGCTCGAGCATGCGCAGAAAGCAAAATTTCGACTTTTACTTTTCGCTTTCTCTTCTCCCCTCTTTTTTCGCTTTTCTTGCCTCATTTTTTTTTCTCTTGCTGGGCATTTAGTAGGCTTCGTTTTGGTGGGAAGAGTTTTTAGGAAAGCTTTTAGGATCTTAGGATTAGGTGAAAGGAAAGGTAGGTGAGCAATGCAACAAGATTTTCATGGAGATTTTCAGGTCAATGTCACATGGTTTTTTGCTTCTTTCTCCGGTGTCCTTGACTGAATTGTGCTCATTCGGGTATGGTTTGAAAGATCTCTTCAGTCTGCACAAGTTAGCGGACAAAGTTGTCTTTGACCGTTAAAGCTGATAATGGCAGAAAGGGTAGGAAAGACGTGGATCCGCACGAGCGGTTACGGGCGGTTCAGGGGCGAATGGGTTAATATTGTAACCATAAATGAAATTTTACTTAACACATTAGATCAGAAAAAATACTTTGGGTAAAACAGAAATAACTAAAAAAGTGAAAACTGCTTTACATCAGTACACTCATTCAGTTACATGAAATCTTTTTGTATTTAAAAATTGCTTCAATTTAAATACAGACCTGGTACTGTTATTCCCAAAAGTCCTAATTGACCAAGTTTTTTCCAAAAGTCCTACAAATAACCACAGGTATACATAAATGAACAATGCAAGTAGCCACGCACATTTAGGTTTAAATTTTAGGCTGGCATCCTTAAAAAACCATAGAGTTGACCAGACTTACAAAGTACCAGTACATTACTCTTAAATTAAAATATATCTGAAACAATAAACTTTGTCAAGTAGTAATATCTGAGCACAAATCTGGGTAAGATTTTCGCACAGCCACATACATTTGTTGTGCATGTGGCAATCTTATGCATTTTCACACAAACAGTGAACATGAATAGAGTTGAACATTTGTGCATAAAATGGGGCTGTGTGGACATCTTACCCAAATATGCACTAAAAAGCACATAATAATCTATTATTGAACATTGCTGATAAAAGCACAAAGCCAAAAGGATTCGTGTATCCCCCAGGTCTGTCCCAGCGACACACCTCCAACCCAGCCCCCACACCATGTGATCAAGATAGAGAACTCCTTTCATTGAGACTTCACTTGGTTCCAAAATACTTTACGAAATACAATTAAAAGGCAAGCGATCTCTCTATTATATTGACACTCCTGTGCTGCACATACTTGGATCTGTCCTTTAGGTCTCTGTTCTGCTGAGGTTTTACTGTACATGTAAATGTACAAACAATGCAACAGATTGTGAGATTGAAAGACTGTGAATTTCTGTTCCATTGCCCAAAGCTCTTGAGCTAGCATATCGCCACACACAAGTTTTAAGAGAGAAAAAACTTAATTTCTATTTAGCCAACATTCGGTCAAAGCCGGCAAAGATTAAGCTTTATAGATCTACAAGTACAAGTACATTGAACAATTGCAGATGTTGACGACAGAACAGTCACTCACCCGCAACTCTGCGAAGTTATTTTCTTTATCGATTTGATCAGCAAATGGCGCCAGTTCCTTCTGACAGAAACTGTTCACCGTCTCTCGTAACTGGAAGAATAACGGTTAGAATTCTAACAATCTAAAACGGGAAGGTAGTATATACAAAGAGATACATCACAGCCATCACAGTCACGGTTCTCAGGCGAAGTTGCGTAAGAATAAAATTACATAAGAAATCTCGTTAGAAATAATGAACCTGTTTTTGGTGATCCGTAATCCCTGACACATAATCATCTACATGTGTTGAAAAACTTCTAAGCCCTAAACATCTTTGTAAAAGTGAGCTTTCCAACAAATTTGTCCGTAGAATTCTACAGACGGCAGCCATGCTTCCCAAATAGGTTTCTTAGATGACGTCAACCTTGCATAAAACTCCTTGCATACATTTTTTATTGAACTCGCCCCAGTGTAGTCGCGGATAAAAACAAAATGGCCTTCGACAAAACATGGATCGTTCTGATTGCGGGTTGTGGTGTATTGGGGCTTGCTTTTTGGGGTGGAATGAATGCTATGACTCTAAAGATGACACTGTTATGGCTTTTTATCAGCTTTGGTTTTTTGACGTCAATTATGCATTTGTTTGGTTCACCCATCAGCCTTCTGCTTGGCAAAGCTCTTCAAACGTCATCAGCTGACGGGTCGTGTAAAAAAGGTATCTTATAATTTCTAAATATTTTATGAAAAATATATGATTATATACTTAAACCCTCCAGTAGGCAGCAAAGAAGAGTGAAACAATGATGCTGTGATTTTCTGTAAATGCCAAAGAATCAGTTACACATTACACTAATACAAATTTTTAAAGCTTATTGATAACATGTTTTGTATGATTATTGTAATTATTATAAGCTTACA